TTTTCAGAGTTACAACCTTTGTAGCATCCCCCATGGTCAGGGGATCAAAATTCAGATGCTTGGCAACTGGTTCAAACTTATGATGGTTGCTGTGTCCCCCCCCCCCACCTCACCCCTGTCGCCAGAAGAAGCCAATCCAACTCATCTAGGGTCCAGTTTGGGGGAAGGGGAGTGTTGGAAGGAAAAACCACCTGGTTCAGTTCCAAGCTGGGAGAAAGGCGCTGGAAATAAAATTGAGGCTGATTGGCTATTTGGTGTGTCTTATACAGCGAGTATAGCCCAAACCCTATATTTTAACAGGAAAAGTAGGGGGTCGTCTTATACACCCTTTCGCCTTATATGCCGGAAAATATATATTAATGACAATCGGACTGGAAAATTGCTAAACAGTACAGTTATTAAATAAGGCATCACACAACTGGACCCAATTTTAAACCCCTTTTTTTGTCATGATCATTAAGTGAGACATCAAGTGATTGTGACTTGCAACTTGCCCTTTTGGCTTCCCCATTGAGTTTGCTTGTTGGAAGCCATCTGGAAGATCACAGATGGAAATCAGATGACTACAGGATGCTACAATTGTTGTGAGAGATAGTTGCCAAATGCTCAGATTGTTATCCTGCAAAGGTTATAAGTGCGAGGATTGGTTGTATATTGGAAGTGCCATCGGAACTTCAGGTGGTTGCTAAATGAGTGGTCATAAGTGAAGGACTATATTAACAGTCAATATAAAAGCATGCATATGTATTATGTATGTAAAATGTTCTCATGCTGACATAATGTTGTTTACTCCTCTGTGTTTCCTCAACATTTTGCTATATAATGAACTGCTCACCCTCTCAAAACAACTCAGATGTTGGTTATAATCAACATTGTCCTAGATAGTTAAATGCACAAATCTGAAACTGTTGAGCATTTGTCTTTTGATTTGTTGGTATTGTTTAAAGGCAATGTGTTTTGGCTTTCAAAAATAGAGTCAGGATATCTCAGCAAGTGTAACCTTGTTTGCAGATTTCTACTGCTATTACTATCATAATATTAATCTACATCTTTCTTTAACCCATATTCTTGAAGAAAAAAGTCTAAAAACCTTGGAGAACAGTGGAAGAAGGGGATTCCTATTGAAGTCATCCCAATGGCCTATGTGCCAATCACTAAGCTTCTGACCAATAAATTTGGAGGTGTTACAGAGTTGAGGATGGCTGTCAATAAAGCTGTATGTATACATTTAAGAAATGGATAATCTGTATGGTGTATAGAAACAATTACTGATTTTTTTTTCCTTTTCAGAGTGGGTGGATAGGTAAACCTTTGCTATTAATATAGGTGAAACTCAAAAAATTAGAATATCATGCAAAAGTTCATTTATTTCAGGAATGCAACTTAAAAGGTGAAACTAATATATGAGATAAGACTCGC